AACAGGTGTAATGTTTAAAAATGGAAATTGTTTTTCCTTTTTTTTTATTTTGCAAAGTGATTTTCTCCGAAGACGATTGGATTGAATTTGGATGGACGATCGGTCGGTCGGATGGTGGATCGGTCAGTCAACAGATTCTGTGGCTTGTGCAACAATGTATCTGTGCTGTGGTACGATACGATGTTGTTCAACGTACCTCCTATATACATACACTTTGTTTTTGTTGTGAATCTACTCACGAAAAAGATTTATTAAAAATGACTTGTTACAAATCCCTTCATTTATGCTTTCGGTACGTTGTCTCGGGACCTGATTGCTCATCCATCAACAACTGAAATAAGTGATGTTTGCTGCCAGAGTAATAGAAATATAAAAGGAAAATGTGAATATACATACATATGTACATATGTATGTACACAACAACAAAAGAAAAACAAAACGTGCACAGTATTGTTTTATTTATACTAATTGTTGTTGTTGTTTAAAAAAAAAATTGACAAAATAAGAAAATCTCTAAATATGAACGAAAATCAAATCCCCCTAATGTTAACGACCCTCCGAAATGTATAAAGGATCTCGATCTGCGAATCTGCACTTGGAATGTGGGCACGTTGAACAGAACAGGCGCAGTTTTCACTTTGGCGGGTGTTCTTCAGAACTACAAAACCGATATTGCCTTACAGGAAATGCGATGGAAAGGGACAGGCGTAAGTAAATCAATCGCACTGCAATATAGCTGCCATGAAAGACGAGACATGAAGTTGCATGCAGATTTATGGTTAACAGGAGAATAAACGACCTCGTCTCCAGATTCACTCCAGTAGATGAACGAATTGCTATAATCCGTATAAAAGCGAAGTTCTTCTACATCAGTGTCATTTGCGCCCATGCTCCAACCGAAGACAAAGATGAACAGGCCAAAGACATATAGGGTGGGATAAAAAGACTGCAACAAAGTCAAACGCCATAATTTTTACATTTCTTTTAAATCTCTTGAAGAAATTTGTTCGAATTGGTAACGAATTATGGCCTTCAAACGGGCAATGAAACCGTCACACGTTGCCGCGAATGTTGCTCTGCGGTATTTTGGCCCATTTCCGGCGAATCGCTGGTGATCCACACTTTGGTATTTTTTAGTGCCAACCTCGCTTTCCAAAATACTCCAGACACAATAGTCCAACGGATTGGTATCCGGAGATTTTGGTGGCCATTGTGCGCTGGAAATGAAGCGAGAAACCACATTTTGTAACCAATCTTGGGTGGCGCGTGCTGAGTGCGATGGTGCTGAGGCCTGTTGGAATGTCCAAGGTCTGCGGACAAAATGTTTGCCTGCCCAAGGCTTTAATACACCATCCAGAATATTTCTATAACCATTTCTACTTCCTTGCCGTCGGGCTACGCTACCAGTATCACGGTAACGAGCGATGATACGAGACACAAAAGATTTATTCACATCTAACGATAGCCACTTGTGTTTTTTCAGCGAAATATAAAGAAATCACACTATCTGGCTTGAATTCCATCACGAATAACTTTTTTTTCTGGAAAATTCTCACCAAAATATTTTTGAAACAGGATATGACCGCTGCCCTGGCCATGGCATTAAAATTCTGCTAGGATATTTTAATGCAAAAATCGGAAGGAAATAGCCTACCGTCGGAAAATTCAGCCTCCATGAAGAAACATCCGACAACCGCATGAGGTTGGTTAACTTCGCTGCAGCAAAAACATTGTAGTTAGCAGCACCAGATTCAAGCATCTCGATGTACACAAGGTCACCTGGATTTCTCCCGATCAAATAACGAGAAATCAAATGGATCATGTTGTGATAGACGGAAGGCATTCGGCTAGTGTTTTAGACATTCGATCGATACGAGGAGCGAACATGGATTCGGACCATTACATTGTGGCAGCCAAGGTTCGCACTCGTCTTAATATAGCAGCAAGGGTGCGATCTAATGTAATACGGAAATACGACGTCGAAAAGCTACAAACACAACAGGTAGAAAAAACACACAAAGCGGGGGAAAATTATCGGGAGAAAAGGAAAGGAGAGAGAGAAACGTATTTTCAGAAAAAAATAACAAAACGTGAGCGTGAGCAAACGAGATGTACCGAACGAAGTCGGGAAAATTTACCAACGAGTAAAACACCAAACCGAAGGCTTTAGTGCTCAAAAATCCTCCTGTAGAGCTTAAAATGGAAACCTGGTGACAGATACAGATAGCGTGTTGATGATCTGATAGGAGCATTTTGCAAAGCTTCTGGTATCAAATAGTAACGGCGAATAATATACCCCGGAACCAATTAGAGATAACGGTACATATTATATACCATCTAGCTAAGATGAGGTCAGAATAGCAATTAATCGGTTGAATAATAAAGCAGCAGTTGCCGATGGCTTACCAACCGAACTATACAACGAGCCTGCACCAGCTGATTAGTACAGTTTGGCTGGAGGAATGCATGTCCAATGATTGGAACCTCAGCATACTGTGTCCCGTGCTCAAAAAAAGGAGACAAGGCGATATGGACCAACTATATATGATAGGTCTCCTTCCCATCGCATATAAAATGCTATCCAGCATACTGTGTGAACGACTGAAGACAATGGTCACTGACATTATTGAACCATACCAATGAGGCTTCAGACCTGGCAAATCCATCATAGACCAGATTTCCACACTGCGCCAGATCCTGGAAAAGACCCACGAAAAACACATCGATACATTCCACTTATTCGTTGTCGGCAGCCCTATCCGTTCAGAAGTGTTTAATGTCATGTCTGCATTCGGCATTCCTGCAAAATTAATACGGCTATGCAGGATAACTTCAACTGGCACAAGGTCAGCCGTTAAAGTCGGAAAGGATCTTTCAAAGCCCTTCAATACCGTATGAGGTTACAGACATGGTGACAGTTTGTTGTGTGATCTTTTTAACATCCTGCTGGAAAAGGTCATACGAGAGGCAAAGGTGAAAAGAAATGGCACTCTATATTCCAAACAACGCATATTACTACGCCCGATGACATCGACATAATAGGTCAAACATGCGACTGGTAACAGCCACCTTTGAACAAATTGAGAAGTAGAAGAGAGAAAACCAAAATTATGGTATCAACGCGCAAGACGTCCAGTAGACTCGGGCCAACTGCGGAACTTGAAAACTACAACTTCGAGGTAGCCAAAGATGTTATATTCCTTGCTCCGCCATAAATAAAACTAATAACATCAGTTTTGAAATTCGGAGAAGAATAGTGTTGGTCAACAGATGCTACTATGGTCTGAATAAGTAATTTAGGAATCAGGGCACTTCCTGCCAGACCAAACTCACATTCTATAAGACGCTGATAATACCAGTGCTAGAATATGGATCAGATATGAAGCAGATGAGACAGCTCTTGGAGTGTATCAACGGTGAATATTACCGTCGAATGAACCATGAGATGTACCATCTTTTCTCGGACTACGTCAGCTAGGTCAAGTTGTGAGAGTGGATGAAGATGCCCCAGCATAAAAGGCATATAAAAGCAAGCCTACTGATGGCTCACGCAGAATGGTAGCCATCACGAATTCGATGGAATGAACAAGTGGAAGAGAACATCTCGGAACATGGTCTTTCAAATTGGAAGTGCTGCACACAAATTGGAAGTGCTGCACACAAATTGGAAGTGCTGCACAAGCTCTTAGCCTAACACAGAAAGCGCGTTATAAACAGAAATAAGTTAAGTGTTTTGGAAACTTCCATCTCCGTTATGAATACATGTTAATTTTTTTCGATCTGGCAACTCCTTTGTATAGAAACAGGTGTTCAAAAAAGACGAATCCGCAATTTTTTACGCATTTCTAATTTTTCCATAGCTTAAGAACATTCCGAACTGCCCTCGTAATATTGGTATAAAATAATATTTTTATCCAAACGACTTTTTTAAATTTAAATAATTAAAAATTGTGTTCTATTCTACATTAATTTGTATAACTGTATTTACATATGTAGGAAGTATTTTTGTTCGTAATCGAAACGCATTATAGAAGGTTCTCTCTCTGATGATGATGATGTGCAATTAGCTGTGCATAAAATACCGGAAGTTTCAATGTACAATTTCTTTCTTTCTATTTGTAATAATTTGATGTCGCTAAATTATACGGTCTATGCATAGCTGTGTGTGTGTGTGTTTGCACACATACACTCACACACAAGCCACTCACAAATTTTAGTTGAAATTCAAGAAGTTATATGAAGATCGACCATAACAACTATGGCAATTTGGATTGGATTGCTATGCTGGTGGGGCTGCCACTTACGACTCTTTTCTTTATGTTTTTGGGTTTTCCTGCTGATGTTCAGCATTTTGGCAATAAAATTAATAGAAAACCACTCACTCACACACATACACAGAGTTTTAATTAATTTTTTTTTTATTTCGAAATTTGCGTATTGACGATTTTGTTGTTGTTGTTATTGTTGCTCCATTTATTTACGAACGAGAAAAAACGACATTTCCAAGATGAATCTCTATAGACAGGAGAAAAACACAAAAGCACAAAATTAAAGAAAACTTTGTGTTGTTGCTCTGAATGCTGCTGAATGGGAAACATAAGCATATGGACAAATTTTCCAGGCCTCATTTTTGAACCTCTCTCTTCTCGTCGTTGTTTTTTTAATGAATGATGGGTAATATGAATAATGGGTAATATGAAAGTAAATTAACGTAAAGTAAATAATTTATTTGTATAGTAACAACAACAACGACGCATGTTTTTGTCTTGTGTTTTTTTTTTTTCATCCAAAACAGCACATCTTCAGATTTAATTGGAAGATTGTAAAAAAATTCCATTTTGTTCTTTTAAAGACAAGATGTAGGGAAATGAAATTAAATACACGGATTTGGGTCTTTATAGAGAGAGAGTGTAGACAGAGAGGAAGTCTTTGTGGACTAGAGAAAGAGGTTTTTATAGTCGAACTGACTGAAAAATTAAGCTGAAAAGGAGGTAGTCTTTATATATACAGGGCGTGATGAAAAACCCGCAACCAACCTCAAACTGCTGACATTTCTAAGCCACTCGTTCGACAGCTGTTAAAATTATTCCAGTGACAGCTCATTATATTGTTTGCAAGCGTACAAAAGCATTTTGGTGAGAATTTTCCAGAAACAAATTATTCATGATGGAATTCAAACGCGAGATAGTGTGATTTCTTTATATTTGGCTGGAAAAACAAATGGGAGCTATCGTTGGAGCACTCTAGTATTTCAATGTGAATAAATCTTTTGTGTCTCGTACCATCGCTCGTTACCGCGATACTGGTAGCGTAAGCCCGACGTCAAGGAAGTGAACGGAAGAAAACAGCAACATCAGCAGAAATGGTTCGAAATGGTAAATACGAAACCCGTGTAGCAGTGCCCGAAAAATGGCTTGTGAGCTGAACATATCGCAATATTCCATTCGGCAAATATTTTGTAAAATGAGCTCGGGGTAAAGCCATTGAAATTCCAAATAGTGCAAGAACTTCCACCACAACAGAAAGAAAATAGACTCAAAAGATCTAAAACCTTGCTTCACTGGGCCGAAATTGGCGAACTTCCGAATTTGGTTTTCTCCGATGAGAAAACATTCGTTGTCCAGCAGTTTGTAGACAAACAAAATTATCGTGTTTACTTGCCAAAGACGTCAGCTGTGTACTTGCGGTTGGCCACCACAACTCAAGCCCCGGCCATGGTGATGGTGTGGGCCACCATAACAGTCGATGGTCGCTCCCCGCTCGTATTAATCAGAATAAATGACGAATAATATCACGAAAAGATTCTGGAGGGTGTATTAAAGACTTCGATACGCAAACATTTTGGCCGCAGACCCTGGACATTCCAACTCAGCACCATCGCACTCAGAACGCGCCACCCAAGAATGCTTACAAAATGAGGTGCCTCGCTTCATTTCCAGCGCACAATGGCCACCAAAATCTCCGGATATCAAACCGTTGGACTATTGCGTCTGGAATATTTTGGATAAAACAATATTTTGAATATAAAAATTACCAAAGTGTCGATCATCTCAAGCAAGCGCTTCGACGGGAATGGGCCAAAATACCGCAGATCAACATTCGGGCAGCGTGTGACGGTTTCATAGGCCGTTTGAAGGCCATAATTCGTGCCAAAGGTGACCAATTCGAACAAATCTAAAATTATTCTAAAATTTAATGCTATTTCCGTCATTTTTTGCTTTGATTCAATAAATTTTAAAAAATGTAAAAATTATACCCTATATATTCATAAAATGAGGTGTATTTGTGATATAGGCGAACTGGAGGATGTGGGAATCGTCATTATATCGGAACTGAAGAGAATTCTTGTTGAAGAGCTGAAGTGACTGGGTCTATTGTAGACGTACAGAAGTGGCGAGGTTTTTTTTTTCTAGAAAATTCATCCCCAGTGTCTTTACATAGACTGAAATGGAAACACCAGAGATTTTATGAACGAACAGACTAACAAAATATTTTTTCTCCCTATGCGCCAAAATTATTTAAAGGTATTCCATTGCCCATACTAAAAAAATATCTTCCAACATCCCAAAATAATCCACTGTTAAAACGCCAAATAAGAAGGATTTCTACATTATTCCACATCTAGCCTTTAAATAAAAAAAGAACAAGAACAGAAGCAGCAATGTGTTGAAAAATATTTACTTTTCAACAGTGCTTTTGTTTTTGTTATTTTTTTTTAGTTTTATTTTTCTTGTATTTTTTCTACAACTGGAATTGTTGACGGATAGTGGCGGATTTTCTTCTTCTTTTGGTTTTGCATTTGTATAAAAAAAAAAACAACAACAACATCAAAATATCAAAGGAATACCTAGAATACTGGAAAAAGTGTACGGTGGTTTCAAAATACTGCTTGAAAAAAAAAATATTATTGAAAAAATATTTTTTTAACCTTTAGTCCTGTGATAGTCGCTGAAAACATTATTTTAAAAAATCTATGCTTATTATATTTATTGAAAAAAAGCTTAAAAATACCATACCAATTTTTTAATCCACGATTGCCATAGTCGATAATCGTTGAAATAATATTTCTAAAAAAATCAACCAGAAATTCAACAATACACGCCTTTGGTAGTCCTTGAAAAAATATTTTAAAGATATTCATGCCTTTGATAGTTTTTGAAAATATTTATTTTTTAAAATATTCACCCTTTTATAGTCTTTGATTTTTGTTTTTAATATTGACGCCATTCAATGTCCTGCAAAAATATTTTTTTTTAAAAAATGCACGATTTTTAGACCTTGAAGTAATATTTTTTTTCAAATATTCACAACTTTCGTAGCCTTTGAAAATTTTTAAACTTTGAAAGACCTTGAAAAAAATTAATAATGTTTGACTTTGATAATCCTTAAAAAATATATATTTTTTAAATAGGTTTTAAAAAAATTATTAGTCAAGTCTTAGATAATCTTTGTTTTTCTTTTAACCCTTTGAGCCCCGAATTTTTTTCCGTAATCAAAGAACAATTTTCTGTTCACAGATTTAATGCATCTATCCTAGATAGGATATGGACAAAATTTGAGATTGCTACATCCTTGCATTCGGTAGATACAGTACATTCTTTCTGAAAAATGAAAGCCCAATATCAAGAAAACCAAATGAAAAATCGACGAAAAAATCATTTTAAATTATTCTCTATATTCATTTTTACAAGAATCAAAAATAGTTCTGATGGCAGAATTTGTACATTTCGAATGCGAAGCGATTTAAATAATTTGGACTGTATACACAAATTAGTACTGTACATATTTTGCCCTCTTCTCTACATTGAAAAGCTCATAACTTTACAAAAAATTTGGTCTTGACGTATGAAATACAAAGAATATATATCTACTAGCTACATATGAAATATAAGCTCTAAAACATTTTGTTGCCTGTGGGCGACATTGGGCCACAAAGGGTTAAAATTCAAGCCAGTGATTGCCAGGCAAAAAAATTAAAAAAAATACACGGCTGTGATTGTCCTTGAAATTTTTTTTAACAAATACACGCCTTCGAAAATCTCTGAATATTTTTTTTAATATTCACGTTTTTCTAGTTTTTAAAAAAATTATTAGTCTAGTCTTAGAAAATCTTCGTTTTTTTTAATATTCACGCCAGTGTAATTGTCAGGCAAAAATAAATTTTAAAAAATACACGACTTTGATTGTCCTTGAAAATTTTTTTAACCAGTACAGGCTTTTGATAATCACTGAATATTTTTTTAATACTCACGTTTTTGAAATATTTGTTTTTTTTAACATTTAAAGCCCTTGAAATTTTTTAAAAAATTAAGGACTTTGAAACAATTGTTAGAAATGCTGGATTTTGATAGCCTTTGAAAAAAATTTCGATGAAAATAATGGTTTTTCTTTAATATTTACGTCTTTTATTCCTTCAAATAATATTTTTGAACATATTCAACTTGCATATCCCATGAATAAAAATTTTTAAAAATATTCACGTCTTTGAAAGTCATTGAAAAAATATATTTTTTAAAACAATCTCCCTTTTGAGTCCTTAAAAGTTTTTTAATAATCAAGCTTCCATGATTTTTTTTAAAAATCCAAGCAATTAATTTTCCTGCAATTTTTAAAAAAAAATACACGACTTTGATAGGCTTTTTTAACACTAGATTGCCGAAGGCGGTCATTTTGGTCGCTTTTCAATTTCAAGTACAAAAACAACTGACACTTTTTTTTGAAAATTTTGTGACTTTTTGTACCACCAAATTTTAAAAAAAGTGTCATTATATGCACAGTTGTTTTTGTACTTGAAATTGAAAAGCGGTCAAAATGACCGCCTTCGGCAATCTAGTGTTAAAAACGCCATTATATGCACATATATCGATCCGCGTTCCTCCCAATTTTCGGTATTTTGGGGTTCTTGAGCTCGTTTTTCAAACGAATATGTTGAAATTTGGTACATTGAGTTCTTATTGGGTACTAAATGTCTCCTCAAAAAGTTATAAATATAGGTCCACTTTTTCTAGTAGTCCCCATATAATGGTACCTCCTAATTTTCAGTATTTTAAGGGTTTTTATCGTATTTTTTCCACCGAACTTGCTGTAATTTAGTATTTTGAGTTCTTAATATGTAACAAATCTCTCCACAAAAATTATAAATATAGGTCAATTTTTCGGATAGCCCCCATATATGGGTACCCCCAAATGTTCGGTATTTTGGAGTTCTTGAGCGCGTTTTTCAACCGAATTCGTTGACATTTGGTACATTGGGTTCTTATTTGGTGTTAAATATCAAAACTAAAAATTATAAACATCGGTCCACTTTTTCTGATAGCCCCCATATAAGGATACCCCCCAATTTTCGGTATTTTGGGGTTCTTGAGCGCATTTTTCAACTGAATTTGTCGTATATGGTAACAAATCTCCCTAACAAATATTATTAATATTTACATCATTTTAGGGGTTTTCCCCATATAACCCCCTTTTTATATTAAAATAGTTAGCTAATTTGTTCCGTGTGTTGGGGTTATCCCCATATAGCTGTTTTCCACCATCGAATGGGGGATATTCTGTAGACGACATTTTCAGTTCATACCCAGCATGGTATGGAATTCTAAAACGATTACGTCGATTTAGGCATGTGTTGTAAGGTCATCGGAGGATGTCGACATAAAAACTAGAACGTGAAGTTTGAGAATGAACTATATCGACCTGCATTGCACGGTATTGTGATTCAAAACTAAATTATTAGCTTGGAACTTGAGCTATATCGGCCCTTAATTAGGTATAACCTCTTATATAATGAAAACACCAAGTATTCGCTAATTCCTACACAATTTTGTCAATATTGGTCCCGCTTTAGTATGCCTCATATAAATTTACACTCTAAATTGGAGTATTTTCAGTATTTTATACACATGTTTCACCCTACTATGTCAACTTTTTGGGGTTTTGAGATTATAGGGAAACCCCTTTTGATATTGCTGAAATTTCTATTTAGTTTACAACAATCCATTGGTAGAATTGTCCTTATATATATGTTCCCTATATTTTCATTTGAAAAATGTTTCAGTATTTCTATGGTGGAGGGTATCCAAATTTCGGCCCGGCCGAACTTAACGCTTTTTCACTTGTTATAATTCACCCCTTCCATAATTCATAAAGAAATACAATAGTCAAGCCTCCTTGAATATTATTTTTAAATTTTGGATCTTTTGACGACCCAAATCGTATTTATCATCACTCTATTTCTTTTTGATGGAATATAATTAAAAGTTCTCACTACATGAATTGTTTAAATTAATTATTTAATTCGCTTATATTTTTTTAAAATTTTAGCCTTTTGTAAATTTCGTATGAAACTAACGAAATATCCGATTTCATCCAAACTTGACACAGTTCACTCCTTCTGGTGGTAGCCTCACCACAAAGTGTTAACATTAAAAAAAATTGTTAATACAATATCAATCGAGTTGAGTTTCGATTTAATCCAAACAATGAATATCGTAAAACTTTTACCAAGCCTAGATGTTGTCCGAAGATGGGATTAATCGGCCCATTTCTATGTAGTGTCAAAATTTTGAAAATCCAATAGCTAGTGAATGTATGCTTTCGTCCAAACTTTGCCCGCAGTTATATTTTTAAAAAACCTCCTTCTAGTACTTCCATACTTAATATGAAGGTAAT